CCACGGTCAAGGGGTCGCGAGCTTGTATAAGGCTACAGTGGAGGAGTCTCCTCTATGAGTCAATATGGCTGGCCCATCTCCGATACCAGCAAGTAGTCCTTCACCAGGGTAGTGCTCGTTTTCCAGGGTGTAACTGATTTTAATTCCCCCTCTGCCCCCTCCACGTATAGTCTGCTAGTGAAGCCTCCGGGCCACACGACTGCTTTGTGGGAAGATAGCAGGTATGGTTCTGGGGAAGGGGGGGGGGAAGAGCAAAGGGAAATGGGGGGCAGGGGGGACGATGCATCGGAAGGGGTGCAAAGGAAAGTCTACTGAATCTCAGTGTAGCTCCTACCCAACCTCTCCCCACCTGCCAGAGAATGAGCTGTAACCTACTAGTGGGGACAGGAAGGAGACATGACCCTGATCCGGGATAGGACCCTTGCCCTATATGTTGCAGCAGCACAAACCCAGACAGCAGATGCTCCCGCGAGAAGGAATAGTGCCCAAGGAGCTTGACTGTTCCTAACTCTTAAGAAGAAATCCAGGAGTTTCAGGGCGGCCATCTGAGGATCCCGAATAGCGGTTATATAGATCATGAGCCATTAAGCTTTTGGCCTCTGGGGAAGCGTTAGAACGCGTCTCTGGAAGTAGTTTTAGAGCCCTACTTGAGAAGGTGTTGGCTCTCTGCCCTGGGGCACGCTCACAGGTGCTAGCAAGCAGGTACCAGTATGTCCTTCAAGAATAAAGAACCACTCCGACTGTGTATCGACATCAACGGGTATGTTTTAAGGCTTCAAAAGGCTAGAAAGATGGGATGAGGAAATGTTCCCAGCACCGCGCCAGGTGACCTGGTACTGGGAGCAGCACTCTGCATGTTTCCTAGGCTTCCCGGGTGATACTTAAATGCACTTAAGTTTGAGAACTTTTGCCAAGGCTTTCCCTACTTAACTACCTCTCTTCTCAACAGCTGGCTAGCTTGTTAACAACCTGCAGTCCAGCTTTGGAGAGGAAGACGTCATGTTTTCATGCAATAAACCACTCTTTGAGGTAGGCTTGGCCTTGGTAGAGGTTGATGCTACTACACTGAGGTCAGAGGTAGGAGCCAGGGGACTCACAAAGGTGGGAGAGCCAGGAGATCATACCCATTCAATACCACAGAACTATGACACTGGCTAACTTTGGATGATATAACCAACCTTTAGGATGAAATAACTCTCCCTCAAAAGTGCCTTCCACCCACTCAAAACGCACAGCATACTAGCACCAATCAGGTAGGCTTCAAAGGGAAGGTCTGCTTTCAGCGGCAGATTCCCTATTAACAGGAAAGCACTAACAAGCTTTTCCTAAGCCTATTTGTGCTCCATTGTAATTCTTCCTGTATAAATAGAGCAGTTACTGCAGATTCTTGGTTAAGTCAGAACAAAGGTCTGTCTTAAGTTGATGTGACACAACTTAGGAAAGGACCAGAAATTAGGTCCAGTCGATGACTGAGTTGATCCCTAAGCAGGATTTATTTTTGAAATAAAAAATCAACAGAGAAGGGAAAGTTCAGATAACTCATTGGTAATTTGGAGAGAAGGAGGGGAACTAGTTGAATCCTTGTTTCATACATCAAGAGCAAGTTCTAGAAGGAATAATGAGTTAAATATATTTTCTAAAGCAAACCAGAAGAAAATAGAATATTTGTGTAAACTTCTGGCTAGAAGTATTTCTCATGGAAGCAAAAGAAGGAAATGATAATAGATATGACTGGACAATAAAACTTCTATGTGTCAAACATTTTTTAAAAGGCAACCTAAACCAGAGAAAAAATATTGACAGCAAACATTTTTAAAAGTCTGAATATCTATCTATCTTATAAGCGGGGCTCATACAGCTGAAGTAAAATATAGAGTCCCAACGATTGAATACAAACAGAAAACAAGCCACCTACAAAGAAATCAAATAGTAAACAATATATGGTAAAAATTAAACTTTCTGGTACCAGAGAAATAAACATTAAAACAAATTAAAGATAGAGATATAAAGACCATGAGTACTGGCTTGCTCATACACTACTGGTGTTATGAAATGATACCGTCCATTTGGAAAGCATTGGGACTATAAGTTGCAGGTTAGAGGGCTCCTACATTTTGACTCAGCAGTCCCACTTCTGGGAATCAAGCCAAAGAAATACTCCCAGCTAGGGAAAAGTTATATACTGCAAGTTGTACATCATAGCATTATTTATATTGAAGACTTAGTCACAACTTAAAGATCCTAGAGTAGGGGCTATACCCAGCTCCTCGTAGCCACCTGGACACAGTGTTACTTCGAGTTTCTATGTCTCTGTGCATATCATTCCTGGTCTCTGCCTTAAACACTCTCCCTGACTTTTTTCTCTGAGCTGCCTCCTCTTCCTTCTACACTTTAATCAGTGTTTTCAAAACTACCTCATTTGTTCCCTCAAACATCTCCTGCAGTCTTCCATTTTGGCACTGGGAGACTACCTGTAATTACTTGTTTACCTGCCCTTCTTCTCTGTTGTGACTCCTTCAAGGGTGTGGTCCACCTCCTTTTAATCTTAGAATCACTAGCATCCTACTTATGTGGCAGGTGCTTGGTAGACACTTACTAAAGGAATGGGTGAATCATTTACTCAGACCTTTTACAGACGTTAAGGATAATGATTATAAAGATATGTGGCAATGTGTGAATACATGCTAAAGACAAATTTTAAAGACACTGTGTATGGAATTATCTCAAAGTAATATTGTTAAGTGAAAAAAATCATGATACAAAACAGTATATCCAGTAGGCTACCATTTTGTAAAACAAGTGTGCTGGCAAAAGAGATTGGAGCCCTGACCGGTTTGGCTCAGTGGATAGAGCGTCGGCCTGCGGACTGAAGGGTCCCAGGTTCGATTCCGGTCAGGGGCATGTACCTTGGTTGCGGGCACATCCCCAGTGGGGGGTGTGCAGGAGGCAGCTGATCGATGTTTCTCTCTCATTGATGTTTCTAACTCTCTATCCCTCTTCCTTCCTCTCGGTAAAAAATCAATAAAATATATTTTTTTTAAAAAAGAGATTGGAAAATTTATTTACACACTAGAGTCCTGGTGCATGAATTCATGCATGGGTGGGGTCCCTCGGCCTGGCCAGTGATCGGGGCTGTCTAGCCCAGTCCCAATCAGGACCGATAAGGGCTGGCCAGCTGGGGGAGGGACCGAGGGAGGTTGGCTGGCCTCAGGAGGTTGGCTGTGGGAGCACACTGACCACCAGGGGGCAGCTCCTGCTTTGAGCATCTGCCCCCTGATGGTCAGTGGGCATCATAGCTACCGGTCAGTAGGCCAGTCATAATGGTCACTTAGGCTTTTATATATATAGATTATTTTCTGATAATGGGTAGCCTACCTAGAGATATAGATGGGAAGGAGACATGCTTTATTTTTTAATATACCCTTTTGCTTGTTTTCAAATTTTGTACCATGTACATGATATACATGTTTTGAAAAATAAATCACTCTATAAATTCATAAGCAATTATATGGAGTTAATTCTTGACAAATAATAACAGTTGTTAGATCATGTGATTGTGGGTGATTTTAGTTTCATGTTTCTGGTTTCCAGGGTTGTTTTTTTTTAATGTAGTTATGTTGCTTTTACAATTACAAAGATTAAAATTATAAACAAAGGCAATCATTATATTTATTTCATCACAACTCTTTCATGACTCCATAAATTCTGGTCTATTTTAAGGAGAAAAAAGTGAGTAATTTTCTCCCTGGAGACTGTTTTGGCCATTTCCTTTATAATTCTAAGATTGGAAAATGGTAAATAAGTTTACTCAGAAGCTCATCAGCCTGGCAACTGGCAGTAAGAACAGGTAAAGCATGTTCTTCTAATAGTTACCTGGCTGAACAGCAAGATATGACAACAGCATTTTAACCTAAGACATCAAGTTTAATGAGCTTGTCTGTCTGCCTCCCTTCTTTCCCCCCCCTCCCCCACCTTCTCTCTCTCTCACTGTCTCTCTTGCTCCTCTAGTCCTATATTCTTCTTTTCCTTCTCTGTAGCCAGCACTCCATGTTGCCTATGCGCCTCCTTCCTCTCAGAACCCCGTGCTATTTCAGTGTCCCCCACACTTTTAACAGCCATATGCTTTGGGAAAACCAGCCCAGGGCCGGCTCCAGGAGGTGAATGGCTCTTGCCAAAGTTTGGTTCAGAAATGGGCATGTGACCCAATGCTGGCCAGTGAGCATGAGGAGATTCAGCTGGGGTTTCCTCACATCTGAGAGATGGTTTCGTTTTGGCCTTGGATTGAATTGTGTTTAGATGTGACACCTGAATCCTCTACAACCTCACCATAAAGACCAGACCAAGAATGGCCGAGTGAGAAAATGGACAGAAAACCCAGGCCTTC